GTCCACAAGTTTCCTGTGAAACATCTTGCCAAATTCATTCTGAAAGTTTACATAAAGTATCTAAATATCTGCCAACTTAGTTAATCCCTCAAATTCTAATAAATTTATTATTAGGTACGACTTGCATATTGACCCAAACTTCATAGACTCCTTTTGGCTTGAAACTGAGGTGCTTACTCTTGTTAAATGCTCTGATTGCTCTTTAGAATGTGTTTAAACATTTTTCCTGTTATAACTGTCAAATTTATAGCCCTATAGTTTCTAAGATGATGTTTCAGACCTTTTTTTAAAGTTAGCACAGCAATTGGCTGCTGTGTTTCACCCCACAAAATATGCAGTCAATTCACTTTACAGTATATTATGTGAAGCGCTTTAAAACGTCTGGAAGATGTGATAAGGCACTATATCAAAATGTAAGGAATATTATTAACTATTTTCAGTTATCTCATACTACCCCTGTATTTGATGAGCTGTAAAAAGCATCTTGGCCACAGCTCCACTATTTTATTTTAGTTTTCAACTTAGATGTTTTCCATCTAGACCTTTTTTCTAAAGAATAAGAATTTTTTTTAAATGGCAATAATATCTAGTTCCTCCATGAGCTTGGCTGCATCGCCTACTTCTACTACCAAAAAGAATATACTGGACCGGTTCTCTATTGTGAAAACCAACGTTTTAAAAGAATTGCAATTGATTATCTCTTCTCATACTTCTCTTAACTGATTATTCACTGCTGCTTTTTAGTGCTTTGTACCTGATAAAAAGATAAATTGCAATCCTTCTTATTTACTTTGACATTTATTTTTTCCGATTATGTCATAGCTGATGGGAACCATGTCACCACAGTAAATGGACAATGATAACCAGTTTTATAACTAAAATGTAACTTTTAGAATATTTATTTCTTCTGCTTCCAATCAATATATCCAAAGACTTATAGGTATGCCCATAATAGTTAACACTTGAATCCTGAATGCCTTTTCGAGTTTCTAAATGTGTAGTTACTTCAAAAAATACATTCGGCACAGTCATGATGGCTTCCTTGCTCTGCTGTAATATTATATGATTCTATGAAAACCCAATGCATACATTTTTGTAGGATTCTGGATGTAATTATGAAGAAATTAAACTATCTTGATCACAATGCAACCTTTTCTTTGGGTTTTTGCATCACAAACCATGTGAACTGGAAGGTGATCTTCCCTGCTTTGCCAATGCTACTCTAAAACCAGTCACTAGGAGGTGTGTGAGAGCAGCTTAAGAGACTCATATAGGCTCCTGCAAATATTCAGCCTGTTACTAGAAAAATTACAAATTTCAATTGAAGGGTGACCACGTCAAAAAAGAGAAAAATATCTCTAAATAATAGAATGTTATGTCCCACGCATTAATAGTCTGCAAAGTATTTAAAAATGCTACAACAAAAAGGAAAACCATATTTGATATACTGTACATGGAACTCTTTCTGAGACAAAAGATAGCTGTGGAGAGGGGAGAGAAAGAGAATATACATCATCACAGAAATGAATGTCTAAATACTATAATGATAGCACGTTTTACTTAGAGGATTCAAGACAGTATTTCTTAAAACTATATTTTAAAAGGTAAAAACAAGTTATAAGTTTTAAGTGTCAAATGAAAATTGCCCTGAATCTGTCTTTGAATTGCAGCTGTGTGATTAGTCTGTGTTTTATATGAGACCACATATTTCTGCTAAAAGTGCCTTATCTAATCCATTAATTTAAGTTTCTAATTCCAACATTTTGGAAAAAAAAGCAAGTGCTGACTTTAAATTGTATCATTTATAATCCTGTTTCTTCCTCCAATGTCAGAAAATGCTTTTAATTTTGGTCTGGATCTCCTTGCCGGTGATATTGATTTCCAATTCACTTCCCCTTTGCTTGGCTTAATTATCGTGAGTGGTGGATGGATTGATTTATTCATGTTTTCCTTTCTGCTTTAATGCTCCTAAAATCATTCCAATACATTTTAAAATAAAGGTTAATTTAGATTTAATTTTAAACCAGTTGATCCTTTAAATTATTTGGCAACTATTGTAATTTGATATTTTAGTATTATAGTAATTAGGTATTTGTATCTTGAACTGTATTATATTTTGACTACAGTATATTGGATCTAAATTGGTATAGTACAGCTATTTAGTTCTCTAAAATATCTAATATATTTGAGGTTACATTTTATTTTAAATATATTAGTCACTAATATTTAGGTGGTACTGTAGTCATTGGAGAGCTTAAATTACCATCATATTTTATTGTTTTGTTAGCATATGGAAAATAGCATCTATTTGGATTGATATATTGGATCACGATTCATGACAGAAAACTGTTGGATAAGGAATTCCATTCTTATATCAAAATATTTACCTGCATAGCTTTGCTTCCACCCAACATAGTCATTCTTTGTATTTTCTAACTCACAGAGATGATTGAATCATACACTATATTGAATATATAAACACTGCATTAGCAGTGATCTGAAAATCTGCAATAGACAGGATTTGAATGGCACAATTTTGATCTGTAGGTAAGAAAGTGTCAGGATCCACAAACCAATCATGATGTTATAAGTGAACCCGGTTATAGCAAGGCATATTAAAAGTGGTCTGTCCTATATTTTAAAAGGAAAACTAGGATAAAATCATTCAGAGCCCTTGGGGGCAATATTCTGGTCATCGGGAAATTTATTAACTTTTGGCAGTATGTACTTATAATGGGATTTTCATGTGGGCTAAAGTGTTGTTCTGAAAGAAACACCTCCATATGCATTTTAGAGCAAAAAAAATGTCACCCAAGCAGGCTATTGTGCTGCTGTTTCTGAGGCTGGACACTGTAATTACAAGGTCTTCACTTCACCTCACTTTCCAGTTACTGCTTCTTAATGTTCTTTGTTTCTTGCTTTTGGCAGAGCAGCAGGAAATCCTGGTAACCAGCAACAAGCAAAGAACATCCACGTTATTCAGTGCCTCAGAAATACTCGTAAATGCAGCAGAGATAATATTGTAGGATTTAGTCATACATTTTTTCAAAAAAAATCATACCCTACTTATAAACCTAATTTATGAGACAAAATCAGATTTGGATTGTATTTTTAACAAATGTTCTGGTTAAGCACAATTGTAAGGATTCTCCAGGGTTACTTCTTTAAGCATGTTTCTTTCAGTTTCCCCCTTCCTACCTTGCCCTTTCAGCTTGCTCAGAAAATATTGTATAATTAATAAATAACAATCAGATTTTTTCACCCACAAAATACCCAGTCAATCCCCTATTCTGTATATTCTGTGAAACGCTTTCAAATGTCCTGAAGACATGGTAAGGAGCAATACCAAATGCAAGGAATATTATTAGCAGATTACCATGGTGGAAAACTACAAAAACACAGATACCATTTGCTAAACACCAGTGCAGCAATGTACACAGGGTTTATTTCATAAATGCTACTAGAAGATATTTCTGTGTCAGTTACGGTCATTTTAAGGTGCCAGCCTACCTTTGAGTCAGAAGCCGGTGACTTCAAACTCCACGTAAATTATTTGACTTCATTAAGACTCGATGACTTGATGATTTCCCTCAGGATGAACCAGCAATCTAACCCAGTCTGTATATTATTTATTACCTGTGTTTTACTTTAATCCACAAAATTTATTAAATTTAAGAGAAAAAGGCACAAGATTAAAGAGAAAGATTAGTTGACTGTTGTAGTGTTATTTTCCTAAATGTGCCAAGTGGAAAGGACTTTATCTGATATAATCCTCTCCCTCCAACACCTCCAATGTCGATTTAAGATATGCATTTCCAAAAGAGAGTTGCAGTTCTGGTTTGATTCATAATAATAACCATCTTTGCATTTGGTATAGCACTTAATAACGTTGGAAGGACATCTCAAAGCACTGTGCAGGATTTACTGTGAATTGGAGTGATTGTGTAATTGTCATGTAGGAAAACTAGGGAACACAATTGCACAACAATATCCCACATGCAGCCATAAAACGAATGACCAATTTTATTATTTAATAAGAACAGTCCTTGCTTTTTGGCACAGCGCCTTCACAGGATTTGCAGTCCACAGCATTTACTATAAAGTGTCGTGATTGTGTTTTTTGTGGGACACGTCAGCCGGTTTGCGCACAGTATTGCCCCACAAACAGCCAAGGAGCGAGTGACCCAATTTTTATTCTGGGGGACTCGCTGGCGAGGACATCGGGAGAAATTCCCTTCTCTTTTCAAATAGCGCCACGGGATCTTTAACGTCCAGCTGAACAGATGGACCTCAGTGTAACGTCTCATTCGAATCACAGCACCTCCCGCAATCCAGCGACTGACTGACCGACCGACCGAAGTGTCAGGCCAGACTGTGGAGAAATTATAATGTGCGTTCGTAGTTTTGCCCTACGGGGAAACACCTGGGGAGGGTGGGGGGGAATTCCTCTCTCTCTCGCTCTCTGTCCAAGAAAAAAACAAGAGCTTAGTCACTCGCTTGGTCCGCGTTTGTGGGACAATACTGTGCGCAAGACCTGGGTGATGCGTTTTCGCCCACAAAATCAGTGCGCTTTAGTGTATATTACAGTCCAAACGTCGCAACGACGCGATAAGGCGCGACATTGAATGCGAAGATATGATGATGACGACGATTATTATTATTATTATTATTATTACTCTCCTGTGAAGCCTTTGGAGGCGTCTCGACGACAGGACAGGACACGGCGCTGGATCAAACGCAAAGATTATCATCACTCACAACCAGAATGATAATAACGATGGGGGACGGGGGGGAGGGAGAAAAAAAAAAGGAAAGTACTGAACGTAAAACACAAATAAATGACCCCAGAAAAAAAAGCTACAGCACAACGTCGCTTCTCCTCCTCCTCCTCCTCCAACAACAACAACTCCTCCTCGCACTGAGCTGAGCGCAGGGCGGAGACGAGGCGTCACTCAGAGGGGAGGGAAGGGGAGGGAGTGAGGGGAGGGGAGTGCCAGTGCGAGAGCCACAGACCGGGCAGAAGCGGCGAGAGTGAGGTGCGGAACGGCTCGGACTTGTGCTTCATGACTTGCGGCGCGAAGGTTGAGCAGAGGACGCGGCGGCGGCGGCGACGACGACGGCGGCGGCGGCGGCGGCGGCTCTGAGTCGTGGCGAGAAGGTGAGAGGGGGGGAGAGAGCTTCCATCATCTGCTCCTCACGGGTCCGCAGCCGTTAAACCGTCCCCCGCCCCTGAACGGAACACCGCTCACATTCAAACCCCGCGTTCCGACCGACCCCCCCATCCCCCCCCCATCCCCCTCCTCCTCCTCCTCCTCCTTCCACCCATTGTGCCTGAAACTCTTCACCGCTATAAGAACAGAGGGGTCTTGGCCAGAAAATAAAATGTAGCCCAAAGTCCACCACGAGCCCAAAAAGTAGCCCGATATTACGCGTCCGTCTCCCAACGGGTACAGCCGCAACAGCCCCAGAGCGGAGTGGCCCCGTTTATTAGGTTCGGTGCTGTTGAAACTGTGTCAGAAAAAGATTCTCATGGGGAGGGGGAGGGGGAGGGGAGCGGGAGAAACATTTTGCGGGTTTCAAATTTTTTTTTAAAAAAATTTTTTAAAAAAGAGAGCTGAGGCACCCGCCCCGGGCTCGGGACGACAACAAAACCCGCCCAATTGGGCGTGAACCCGCCCAACCTGGTGACATTGGCTGAGGAACTGTCCAGAGTGGACATCATCATCACCACCACCCACCACCACCACCGAGACAACCTAACTTGAAACAAAGGAGGAGGCGGGGCGAGGAGCAGGGGGCGGGCCTTAGTGGTTCTCAGCGCGAAGTGATTGGTAGTAGTGCAACGCTTTGACGGCCGCCGCGGCCGCTGGTTGGTCACGGGAGCTGTCAATCTTTCACAGCTGGTTTCCCCCCCCCCCCTCCCCCAGAGGTTAGGTTGTCCGTCGCGGGGAGACGAGCTCCGGGATGGAAAGTGATGTGAGGAGCGGTGTCTGTGCTCTGTTATCTCTATTCTGCTTCTCATTTTGTTTAACCAAAGATGAACAGAGAGACAGAGAGGAGACTTTTTTTGCCCCCCACCTCGGGGATGCCAAATGCTTGTGTTTATAACCCGTACCCACCCACCGACCCACCCCCGGGTACCCACCCCGGATACCCCACCCCCGGGTACCCCACCCGCCCAACCACTCCACCGGGTACCCACCCACCAACCCTCCCCGGATACCCACCCACCAACCCTCCCCGGGTTCCCACCCACCCACCCTCCCCGGGTACCCACCCACCCACCAACCCTCCCCGGGTACCCACCCACCAACCACTCCCCGGTACCCACCCACCAACCCTCCCCGGGTACCCACCCACCGACCCTCCCCGGGTACCCACCCATCGACCTTCCCCGGGTACCCACCCACCAACCCACCCCGGGTACCCACCCGCCAACCACTCCCCGGATACCCACCTACCAACCCTCCCTGGGATCCACCCGCCAACCCTCCCCGGGTACCCACCCACCAACCCTCCCCGGGTACCCACCCACCAACCCACCCCGGATACCCACCCACCAACCCTCCCCGGGTACCCACCCACCAACCCACCCCGGGTACCCACCCACCAACCCCACCCCGGGTACCCACCCACCAACCCTCCCCGGGTACCCACCCACCAACCCCACCCCGGGTACCCACCCACCAACCCCACCCCGGATACCCACCCACCAACCCACCCCGGGTACCCACCCACCAACACTCCCCGGGTACCCACCCACCAACCCACCCCGGGTACCCACCCACCAACCCCACCCCGGATACCCACCCACCAACCCTCCCCGGGTACCCACCCACCAACACTCCCGGGTACCCACCCACCAACCCACCCGGGTACCCACCCCACCAACCCTCCCCGGGTACCCACCCACCAACCCACCCCGGATACCCCGGATATCCACCAACCATGGATTTCGCTTGACAAGCGAATGAAATTGTTGCAGAATTTGAGGATCCAAGTTGGGACGATGGGTTTGAAAAATTGCACCCTCTTTTTTCGTACCGGAACAGAGAGGGTTAAGAAGAGGTGTAGTGGATGACATCAAAATTTGAAAAGGTTTTGTGAGGATAAATAGTGACAAATTATTCCAGCTGGTTGCTGATACTTTAATAATTGTGAAGGGGGGGGTGTAAATTGTTGCTGAAAGAGTTTAGTTGGAGGTTAGTGGAAACATTTTCACTCAGAGGGTTGCCAATGTGGAATACTTTGCCACAAGCGGTTTTTGAGGCTGAAATCATAACATTTAAAGGGGAATTGGATAAACAATTGAAGGACATAAAAGGGCATGGGGTAAGAGCAGGGAATTTGGATTAGATGATGCTTCTCCAGTGGAGGAGCTCGCACAAGCAGAAACGCAGTGGGTCAAAATTTCTGTGCTGCAATTTCTACACATCTATTCTTTCAACACAGGGAAATCTTGTTATATCAACAACCTCATTTACAAGCAAGGTTCAAAAAATGTTGGATTTCTTGGTCATCAGGTCACTGCTGATGTCATTTCCAGCGCGCTAAGTAAAGGAAATTTTGCTAATGTGACTTGTTGTGCGCTATATACATGGAGGCAGCCAGCTGGGTGCACCATGCTTCTGGTTAGTGTGGGTCCACAGTAGACCCACATCAAAAGTGAAGCAGTGCTTCATCAAAAGATACTATAAGTACTTATGAAGCAATGCAGTTCAATAATCCTGTTAAAAAATTCCAATCTGCAGAGAACTTAATGGGGTAGTGATGCAGATGTGAAGCTTTGTAGTGGCTTCCAACATTTTAAAGAATGTCTCATTGAATAATGTCTGTTACATGCCCAAAACAAGAACGTTTTGCTTAATAAGTATTTCTTTCCTGATGTAGATAATGCCAGCAGAGTCTCTAAGATATAAGAATGCTCTTTTGAGGACTTGACACTTCCTGACCTTATAGATGGGTGACATTTCTCTCTTTCTCTCACTTTGAAAGCCCTCCACGGTCTTCTTTCTCCCTACCTCTGTGACCTACGAAACCTTTACCAACCTGTCTGCTCCCTCTCCTCAACAGGCACCTCTCCCCCGCCCTGCCCGCTCCATCATCAGCAGTTGGGTATTCAGCCTTTCTGCCCCCACTCTCTGGAACGCCATCTCAGAGCCTCTTGTTTCCTTCAAGGCACATCTCAAGATCTTCCTCTTCATCCATGCCTTCGGTCATTTTTGCACCTCCACCCTCCTTACTTTCCACCCCTCTTGATTCCAACCCCCATCTTGGGTGCAAACCCTTCACTATCCAGTGCCTTGGGATGTTCCCCTGGCGTGAAAGGCACCGTATCAATAACCTCTTGTCATCAAGTATAAAGTAATAGTGTACTCTGCTGTTCATGACTATGGGATTCAAAAGCATTCATTAGGAAAATGACAGGTCGAGTAACTCTTGAGGTTCAATGAAACTGTTCTGAGTCACTTTTGAGATGTGAATGTCAGGTGTTTGCTTCTCTGTAGATTGAGATTAGTTCCAAAACTCAATAACTGCCTCAGTCCTGTTGCACTTAATAGTCAAGGGACTTGTTGCTTAATCCTGCGAAAACCCTCTACAAATTTTTTTTATAAGCGTAATGACTCATTTTTTCTTAAAACAAAATTCTCGTCTCTGAACTGCAAATATTTAACAGTCAGCTTGTTCTCTTCACCTCTTAATCTGCCCCCCCACACACACACTCTGAATTGGTTGATACGGAAACTGTATCTTGAGTAACAAAGCAGCAAAATGTATAAATGCCACTATTAATGTCATGTTTCCTTTTTGAAGTGCTTGTTCAATTCTAGCACAAGTCTGCAATAAGACCCTGCCTGTAGCATTTACCCACAAAATGCAATCACTACACCTTACAGTAAATCCTGTGAAGTGCTTTGAGACCTATCCACGCCACAAAAGTCACTTCAGTAAGACTCACACAAGTCATATCGGTCTGGACCACAGCATTTATTATGACTTACACAAAGTCCGAGTTGCATGCAAACTGTATAAGCCTTAGAAAATTTGATTAAATCAATCTACATTGTGCATGCGTAATTTAATGCAGTTGATAAGTGTGCAAGCGGTAGTTCAACACTGCAGCCAGGAAGTGTGCATGCAGTGACATGTCAAAACTACATTTCCTGTCACCGCATGCGAATTTATCGGCAAGCATTGGAATCACATTGAATCTTGGGAAATTAAGTTCTTCTGCGTAATGCATTGATAGATCAAGACGACAATATGCACGAATCAATGCAACCGGCTGGTAAGTGCGCATGCATCGATGGGTCAGGGACATCATTTCCCACAATTCAAGATAGTCGGAAAGTTTGGAAGTAATTGAGATGTTGGGGAGAGGCATAACGCTTTAGGAGGTGATTAATATGAGTAGAGCAAAGAAATCTAAGTGGTTTTAGTAGGAAACTGAATTGGACTCAGGTGAATGTACAATTTAGGAGATTATACGATTTATAGGCAAGTTTTACTATATATCAAATACAAGGATTCTTATTTTGTACAAGCAAAAGCTGCTGCTTGTTATCTTAATGCGATAATAATTGATAAGAAGTTGCTTATTAATTGGTATGCTACATACTTAAGTGCTTTTTTAATAAATTGCCCCCAAAACACCATGCTACGACATTAAATACTGTAAAACACTTTGAGAATTCCTTTTTGGTCAGCAGGGAAAAAGTTCTTCCAATGAGACAGGCTCTATATCAAATGCAAGGATGATTTTTACACTCATCTTACAGATTATTCTCTGTTTATTATTGTGAATTGGATCAAGCGTAGTAACATTTTCGATTAGCATAATTTTTTTGTGTCAATTGAAACATCTAAGCTTGGAAATTGAAGTTACTACACACACATTTTAATGTAATCTCTGATATAACCAATAACATTTAATTCAATAATAGAGTCATCAATAATAATATTGATAATATTTGAGTGAGTAAAGTGTAGAGCCTGCAGATAATACTGATTAATGGTAGTATTATGTTGATAGCACTAATGTTTTGAGCTATTACTGTATCATCAAATTGTTTCAATAACTTAACGTATATGTAGCCATGGTAGTACAATAGTAATAATAATCCTTGCATTTGATCTAGTGCCTTATCACGCCTTCAA